GATTTCTCGATGTTCTTGTCTACAAATCGGTACCAAAACACCTGTCCAGACGTTTTGCAGACTTAATATATGCGAGGATTATAAAAGAAAGATAAGGATAGTTGAACAATGACGGTATCGCTGTCTGGCTCTATTGAAAGAGACGAAACAAAAGCTTCGAATGTCGGTTCGACTGTCGAAGTTCATCCAGCTTAAAACAGAGGCTCCGGCGAACTTTTGATAGCCTTTCGTTAGACAATAATTTTTCGTCGCCTAGTTATTGAAGTTTCAAATCTGGTCTGAGATCCGACGTCAATCGTCTATCCATTCACCTCGATTCCATTTCCTTTTTTAACAAGGCACAGCACGGCTTCCGTAGAAATTTCTCTTGTGAAACACAGCTTCTTTGCTTAACCCATGACCTTTTTTCTAACCTCGACTCCGGTTTACCAACCGACGCTGTATTTTTTGATTTTGCTAAAGCTTTTGACAAAATACCACATAACCAACTGCTACTAAAACTTTCATCGTTAAACCTTGACACCAACGTACTATCATGGATTAAATCTTTCCTCTCGCAACGAAACCAGTTTGTTTATGCTAACGACTCTTCATCTGCCTTGGCCCCTGTAACATCCGGTGTGCCCCAAGGAACAGTCCTTGGTCCCCTACTCTTCCTTATTTACACCAACGACCTTCCCCTCCAAGTGTCCTCATCAATGTGTTTGTTTGCAGATGACTGTGTCGTTTATCGTGAAATAGCATCTCCCTCTGATTCTGCAGCGCTACAAGATGACCTTAACTCTATTAATAAATGGTGTAGTAATTCGGAAATGTCCCTCAACGTTAACAAATGTAAACACATGCGCTTCTCTCGTTCCACCTTCCAAACTTCCTCTACTCTTAATGATGTTCCTCTACAACAAACTGACACGTACAAGTATATTGGTGTTCTTCTAACAAAAAACCTCCCTTGGGACAGCCATATCAATTCAGTGGTGTCTGCTGCTAACCGAAGCCTAGGTTACCTCCGTCGCAACTTCAGATCTGTCCCAAGTAACCTAAAGCGACTCGTTTACATTTCCTTAGTACGATCAAAATTGGAGTATGCATCCTCCATATGGCACCCTCACCTTTCTTCACTAACAGACAGTATTGAGGCTGTCCAAAACCGTGCTGCCCGGTTCATTGCATCTGACTACTCACGTTTTTCTAGTGTTACTCGAATGAAATCTGACCAGTCTCTTCCCTTACTTGCTACCCGACGGAAAATGTTTCGTCTGTGCCTGTTGCATAAAGTCTATCATTCCCCTCCTCTACTACATCAGACTCTTCTCACTCCGCCAACTTATTCGTCCTCTAGACTAGATCATCCTAAAAAAATAGCCCGGCCACGATGTTTTTCCACAGCACATCAAAACGCCCTTCTACCTTCCCGGTGACATCGCAGCGATCAAGGATTCCGCCGCATTTCGCGAAGTGATTCAACAATGTTGTAATACCCACTCCCCTCTCTAACGCCTCGCGGCCTTGAGGGTATTGTAAATAATTAAATAAATGTTGTAGTTTGGGGGGAGGGGAGGGGAAGGGAAGGGAAGGGAAGGGAAGGGAAGAGGAGAGGAGAGGAGAGGAGGGACGGGAAGAAGGAAGTAAAAAAAAGTCAAATTTGGGGGTTTTACGTGCCCAACCAACGACGGGCATCTGGCACGCCCAAGCGAAGGACTGAGGATTAATTTCGACCACCTGGCCGGAAATGCCGGGGAGGCTCACGGCTAGAAAAACGCTAAAAAAAAAAATATATATATATATATATATATATATATATATATTTTTATATATATCTTTTTTAAATTGCTCGATTAATTTGCCAATTTTATGCATGTGACGTCCCCCCCCCCCCCCCCCCCCCCCTCCCCTTCCCTCCCAAACCCGAGAGCGCGCGAAAATGTTAATGTTGGTTTTGGCGCCACCTTTATTTCCCGCTTTCCCAATAGCTCTTTCGCATTTAGAGATGACAAATGATCGACATGCCGGGAAGAGTGCAGAGTATTGGTATTCGGAAAATAAGTTGGGTGGCTCAACAAAAAACAAAAAAAAAACGCAGGAGCTTTTAAGAGTAGCCAAGCTTGGATGTTGTGTTGTGTAATAAGCAGTGACGGAAGTTCCGCGCCATTCGCGCCGCGAAGGAAAGTGCGCTACCTCGTGCGCCAAAGCGCCATTTTTGCTAAGAATTGCGCCGTACCTGCGCCCAGGTGAGCTCGAAGAAAGCAAAAAAAACGATAAAAATATTTTGTTATTGGTCGATCCTAATATTTAGAAAAGTAGAAGGAAACGAAAGCGCGGTAGAAATACGTATTTCACAGAGTCTCTATACTCATATCGTATGGTATGTTTCGTCTTGGGTCAGAAGTTAGTCGAAGGCTCAAACACTTATAGTCACGAACACGCTCTAGAAGCATAACCGGAGGGGCTATTCGCAGCGCTTGATCGATTTACAGTATGAAATGACCTGTACAATTAATTGACGAACGTCACGATGTCTTGCTTTCGACGAGCGTGCCCCGTCATCGTCTGAATTTCCAGTCGATGCCGACGTTGTCTGGAGCTAAAAAATGTGTAAGGAATTGCAAAATAATCGCGGGATGGCGACTATTGTAATAAGACGGACCCAGGGTCTTTTACTCCTGATGATATCACTCGATTATTGTGTCTCCACGGCATGGCTAGTCCTATAGCCTCCTCTATGCTCACAAAGCCTGGCAGTTCGACGACGGAGCTATAGAGAGAGCCCGGTCGCAGGTTTGGAGCGGGAGGATGTGGTAGCGCGGAGCATCGAGGTTGTAATGTAATCAGAATGTAATCCTGGATTTACGATTACATCCTCATTCTTCAGGTCTTTGTTGGGCCTTCCAGCAGAGGTCGGAGAGGCCAGTCCTCCCTTTCACCAGTGCTCACTCCATGTCAGTTAAGCATGGCATAGTAAGGTCACTTTTCAAGTCCTCATACTCCAAGTCGTGCACGCATTTCTCTGAAAGTATACCTGAAGTTGCAGCAGCAGAGGTTGGAGAAAGCAGGCTTTCCTGCTGACCTACTTCGTTTTACCCTTGAGAGGTTCATTCTCAAACCACCAACTTCCGTAAGCTGTTTCCAAAAAGAAAGGTCGTTTCGCTGCGATTCCCTACTCGCACAATTCCGCGCACCATTTAAGATATATCGCGTCCAAGTTCGACACGAGTGTGGTTTTTTTCCTGCCGTATGCGCCTCAAACAGATGTGTAAAAAGGTTAATGGGAGCGACAGTCCCAGAGGGTGCAATGAAAAGCATGCCAAAAAGTTCGTAGAGTGCGAAGAAAGAAAGGTTTACCATTCAATTCCACTAAGCTGTGGCAGTCAGTACATTGGACAGACTGGGAGATGCGTCAACCATCGACTCAGAGAACGCAACTTGGAATCATCAAAGGCTTCAAATGAGTCGTATCACCCAATTGTCGTTCACAGCCGCACGTGCGATGACTGTATACTCCTTATTTCTCTGATAGTAGAATACTGGGCGGGCACACCGACAGATTTGGGAGAGAAATCATTGAATCATTTGCCATGGGGACTGTAAACAACAACATTTTTGCACTTTCATTATCATTGACAAAAACAGAGGTCGACTTTTTAACACCAGAGATGACTAGATTACTGACACCTCGCCGTGACGCTAGAGCTTTTTAAACTTTTATATTTATTTGGGACTTTGAACAACATTTCTGCAGCTTCATTATCATTGACAATGACAAAGGTCGAATTCTAAGCAATCGGAGATAACTAGATTAGTGATACCTCGTCGTGACGCCAGCGCTTTTTAAACTTGTATTTACAGTAAATTCCCTTTCCTTTATAACAATTATTTCCTTTCCTTCTTTGAGAACGTTGAACCTTTGGGGGGCGGTTTTATCGTTGTGCCATTCTATGTTGTTGCTAAATGAAAGATGTCCTGTCCTCGTCCTCGCTGTTTTTTACTTTCAAGTTTTGTATCTATTAACCAACACGCTCGCTTTCAATCGTAACGATATTCGCTTTAGGAGTTTTTTTTTTTTTTTTTTTTCTCGCTTTCCACGAGCTTGCTGAGTGGGACCCAGGTGTAGACCTTTGCAAACATCGCGTCCTGTGCGCTGTCATCTTTGTCTGCTGGGCTGTGGAAGGCCTTCTGCGCATGCGCTGTTGATCTGCTGTGCAGTTCATCGGACGCTGCGCACGCGTCCACAGCTCAGTGACTCAGCGTTTTTCGCCCGGGTGATGAGCGATGCAGAGGTCTATACTCGCACGCAACGCCACTGACCAAGCAACTCCTTTGTTGCGGTGTATATGTCAAGAACAAAAGTAAGAGTTTTTCCAATATCCTTCGCAAAACTTCATGACGTAACATGGGGGGTCGCAGTCCTCCTTATTGATGATATTTCAATTCGTGGCTCATGGTTTCGGACCCGAGGCAGTGGCCCGTGTCGACAATAGCGGAACCATAACAATGTCTGGAACTCGGCGCGTGTCCCGTGCTTTGCTGCAGCGCGTGGATATATGATCAACATTGGCGCCCGATCAGCTGGCCGCTTGTTTATAGCGGGGGTGAACGCTGCTCATTTTCTTCAATTTTTCCTGCGCCTTCTATCGCGTGGGCCGAAAAAACGAACGCGTGTTTCATGGGTCATTAACGTTAGGGATCTAGTTTTGCGCAAAGTGCGAAAATCGTTCCATCGCCCCTTTCATTAAAGCCTTTGTGAGGCACGCTGTAATTGTATTTTCGTGGGAAAGTCGCTATTGCAATTTCTCCATCCTTTATAACCGCATAAATAAACTTTCCATATTTGGAAGCGTTTTGTCTTGCTACGACAGGGTTTCCGAGATGCAATGAGCTCCACTCCGAGCAGCCTTCGATTTTGAGCGTTTATCGAGCCACGTATCTCGCTTCGCCCGACGAGCAGAACGAACCGTCACCCCAGATATCTTTTTATATGTGAAGGATGCCTGCTGCAACGATCTAATCGGATGCGAAAGGAGGCACGCCCAGTTATTTCGTCAGACGTCGTTTCGAACCATCCGATTTCCGCTCTGTCTGCAACTTTTCCATTCAAGGTGATGCGTTCTTTTGTTGTTGGTTTTTTTCGTGTATGTTAGTTGCACGATTTTTTGAATCCACGTCCTTTCTTTCCAAGGTTGTAACCCCTTTTCTTGGATAACTTATTTTTTTAGACTAATTTGGACTTCAATTTAGATTTAATCGGGCCTATAATAACATCGGAGAAAAGAATTACATTATTTTCCAAATGCGTACATCATAACTCCCAAATCTTTTTCATATATTTTTTTTTCCGGTGCGATCATGATGAATTGGGTGTATGTAACTCACGATAACTTACCACGAAATTCATGCACCCTATTACAGGCAACTGACGCATCAGGTACATACAGCTTGTCGTTTTATTTGCAGTTTTGGGCCGCCCTTACCTGCATGTCAAGCTCTTTATCGTGCGTGGGGAGAAAGTACCCGAGACTGTGTTTTACGCTCGAGTACTTTTCACACTGGCTCGCTTGATTTTCGTTCTTGCCGTCGTGGCTTCCGTTTTGATGATAAGTCCCGGGTGATAAGTCCCCGTCGGATGGCGAGCACTTCGGTCGGGATTCAAACCGGGGTTCATTTGACCCATGGATCAGCGCGACAGAAGGTCCCGATCTGCTCGGGGCGTCTAGGGTACCTCCAGCAGAGCACGGTGCTCCAGAGGGAGATCGCGACTTCGGGACCTCGGAGGCCATCGCGCAGAGCCGTCGCGGTCCCCTAGATGGCGGCACGCGCGCTCCCTTCCGCCCTAGCGCGACCTGGATCAGGCGGGCGGCGTGTGCGCGGAGAGCGGTCGCGGCGGTCGTCGACGGGGATTGCGTGTGGCGGCCTCGTGCACAGGTGAGTGGCCCTCCTCGTTCCCCCCGCTCTGCGCTTCCGGGCCGAGCTCCGGGGGCCGAACGCCCCTGGCCGACAACGGCCTTCGGGCACTCCCCGTGCTCGTGGTCGTCTGCTTCCCGACGGCCTGCGTCGTTGGCTATGGTCGCCCCCCTCGTCCTGGGCGGAAGTTTGCGGGGAGTACAGCGTCGCGTGGTCCCCCACCGGTGTTTTGTAACTTTCCACGCTGACAGTTAGCGGGACGGTCCTATCGGTCTCCCTTGGACGCTGTGTTGCTGTGCTCTATTGACAAGTCCGTGGCAAGCGTCCGTGGATAGCACGTACTATACTGTCGCGGACAATATCATCTCGGGCAGTCAGTCGTCTATGCCTCTCCGGCTTTCTTGCCAGTGTTTTTCTTTTCTTTTTTTTTCCTTTTGAAATAAGTTTTTGTTTAGATTTGGCGCGGAACGCAGAGCTTAGGTCTTAATCTTTGAAAGTTTTGACGATTTCAGAAGGTAACGAAGCTTGCGGGAACTGTAGGCACCGCGAACGTCCAGATCATGCGTTGCATTCGTGTGCACGCTGCCTGCGAGAACGGCAGGGAGGTCCTTCAGTTGTGCCGTCTCCAGCGAGGGCTTTCCACCTATCGATGAAGCTTTGGCATCTTCTGAGAGCTTCGAGCGTGCAGCCGAAGCACGGCAGAAGGCAAGAAGTGCGCGCTCCATGGCTTTGGCAGTGCTTTCTTTCTCAAAACTTCTGAAGCCAACGAGTCACGAATAAGAAAAAAAAAAAGAAGGGTTTATTGGCAGCAGAATTGCAGCACGTGAAGCATGCTCGAGCTTGAGCGGCTTGCACGACCAAAAGCGTCCCTGTGATCGGCCCTCCACGATTGGCCTAGAGCTCACTATGACGTGTTTAGTAGGATTATTTCCGCTCTCATCGACGGAAATAAGAGCAAAGTCAGACTCTCCACTCTGACGGTGTTCATTTAAGAACCTAATGACGAGGCTTCCACCGCGCTTTTACGCACCATCGGAGTTGCCGCTCGTTACTAATAATCTTGGTCGTGACGTCACGGATGAGAACCCTAATGCCCGAGTCCCACTAGAGCGACAAACAAAAACAACTGACACAAACAAGCCTCCGACTACCTCCGACACATGCAGCATGCTCCCGGTGGTGCCTTTGGCATGCAGCAGTTTAGTCGTTCGGTGCTCGTGAACTAAACACGACTGATTGCAAGCCTGCCAAAGATTTCCTCGCGTGCATGATGCCCGTGTTTGAGCATAGCCTCATTTATTCTACGAAGACTGTCTAATCGCGAAAGAATCTGATTTGAGGCTTGTCCTGACGGTTTTTTTTCTGCTCTAGTGAGACTCGGGCAAGCTGTGCATGGACGCCGCCATAAGCCACCTTTGTGTGTGTGTGTTTTTTCCTCTTATTCTGTTTACTAGGGAGCCTTCATGTGCGCTTTGCTAGGGTGATGCCACCCTTTGTAATACCACTCGCCGACAAACCAGCAGCCATTTTGTTCCTCGGCGATAATCCATGGGGCTTCTAACCCTCCCGGAAACAAGCACCTTATCTCAGAAGTTCGGAGGAGTGTTGTGGAACCCACGGAGGGAGGATTAGCATTTTCCCCCTCGGATGGGATTACCGATGGACACAAAGGCCACTTTCCGGCGCACGGGGAAACAATGAGAGAAACAAAGTGGCGGTGGAAGAGGGCGTGGGAAAGGGTAACAGGCAGTTGGCATCACTCTATGCGAAGCGCACATGAAGGCACTCTACTGTTTACTACACATCATTACCATAAAAGGTCAGGTTACTACAATGCCATTTTAAATTCTACTGTGTTCTCCCCAGCATTGGCCTTCCTGGAGGTTCGTGAATGCCCGTTTCAGTGCTCGGTATCTCGGTACACGGTCACTGGATCCTGGAAAAGTAGCGTATGGCATGCACGTAGCCAGGGGGGAGGCCCATGGGGCCCGGACCCCCCCCCCCCCCCCCCCCCCCGATATATTTCATTTTGCTGGGACCTTCTCTCCCCCCTCCCCCGCATACAGCAATTTGTCGTGGGCGCCCCCCCCCCCCCCCCCCCCCCCCCCCCCCGAACCAAAATCCTGGCTACGTACCTGGTGTATGGTCACCATTTTCGTTCATAGACTCGGCATTTTCTCCTTGACATCTCCCTTCTTGGTGAGCCGATCTAAATTCGCTGGTGACGGGTAGCTTTATTATAGAGACGTTTCTTGAATACCGAGATTTTGTTACCCACACGCCGGCGAAACAAGCGCACATCTTCGCATCGGTACCACGTGCAACGCCGGTGCTTGACGACATTTAAAAAAAAATAATTCTCCTCTCTTTAAATTCGCAAGAACAACAATGTCATTGTAAGAGATCCGTGGAGATAAGCATGATTGGTAAGTGAATGGGTCCATATCACATGAGCGAATGACATTTTAGCGAACAGCGACGTTTGAGCGAATTAACGTTTTAGCGAATAACGGGGGCGCGCGTTAACCCATCCGCCGCGCTGCGCTTTACGCCGCTTCGCGGCGACAGTCTGCGGCAACTCATTACAAAAATGTGAACCCATTTCGCCCACCCGAAAACGCCGCTTCGCGGCGTCCGACTATTCGCTAAAGTGTCATTCGGTGAAACGTGGGCGTTCGCTAAAATGTCATTCGATCAAGTGAGTGCCTCCCGGTTCAGAACGACCCTTTCCAAGCTTTGAAGATTTGAAGGGACCGAAATGGCGGTTGGGGCCACGGCAGCTGAGACCGATTAGCCAATCACCTTGCAAGGTTTGGTCCTCTGTATACGGTAGTATCTGTTTGTGTCGGGCTAGCAGGCAGGGAAGGTAAGGGCGCTGCTTTCCCCAGGACCCAATGATTTTAGGTAAGAGAGGAGGTTAGCAATGGCGGCTGTAATCATGGCGCGTGTGGCGCGGACACGTACTCTGTCTTGAAAACGCCTAGCAGCTCGGAACAGTCCTCGGGGCTTGACGCTCGCGCTTTGTCGTCTCGTGAAAGGGCCGAGAGCGTACGCGCTGCTTGAGGGAGCAAAACAGCCAGGGCGCATCCGTGTTGTTCTCAGTAACATTGGTTTTCGGGCTGGTGCCACTCTTTGGGGCCTTGTTCCAGATCTCCTCGAGTATATCCGAGTTACTCTCATGGGTCATATCACGTGGTAACAGGGATGGAGCGACGCTGGACGCCAGGAGGTTTTCGAACGCCGATGTAGAAACCCTTTTCTCTAAAGTGAAATCGAGTAAATTTCAGAACACGGCTTCGGGGTGCCCGCTGACCAGAGCAGGCGTTTGTGGGGCAGAGAACAAGCATGGCACAAGATGGCGTCAATGCACCGGCTGATGCCGAGGGCACGCTTTTCCAAGTGGCTCAGACCAAAGACGAGAATGACCCGACATCAACACTTTTAGATGCTGTCTCGATGGAAGTGGTTAACTAATTTTCTAAGCTCGTTGCCAGGTTGTTGTACTCTAGGTCTACTCAATGACTCGTCCATATGCCTCTCGTATAAAACAGTGGTTGAGGTTCCGCAACTTTCACGAGTTAAGATATAGAGCGCCTGAAACGAGAAGAGGTCACATCCGACGCGGAGTTGTTAACTCTTTGCCCGGCTGTATGCGCTTCTCTCATGGTGGTGACATCGGGTCATCTTGTGGCACGATGCTTCTTTCTTGAGCACGTCGTTTTGGTTCACGAGACTTTTGTTTTTCTTCGTAATTAAGCATCGCGTCTGCGTTACGCCGTCTTCACGATGACATCACTTCCTGGCACCGCGAAATACGTCGTCCTTTCCGCGTCGTGCGCATCGCCGTCGTCCGTAACGAAACCAGGTCCTCGCGGTCCTTCTCAGCAACCGCAGAAATAATTTGTTTTCAACGGTGCTTCAGCGCTGACGCTGCAGTGTCCCGCCGTGCGGATGGGACTGCGCAAGCCGCCGTCCGATTTGAAGCCCCTCTTCGATGTGCACTCTGGCCCTTTCTGTCCTATGTCTCCGCGGCGCAGGTCAGGGAGTAGTTGCCCACATTTAATAGACCGTTCCGATACTTCCGTTAACGATGCCCGGTAAGAGCTAAATATCGGATATCGTTATCGGATTTCATATCGGAACGATCTACTAGGACTTCTATACTGGAACAAGACTTCGGGGACGGTGTGTGCTCTAC